ATTATTCAGTATTTGATGTCTCAAACTTTAACTCTTTGTTGACTGATGATCTTTAGCAGCGTCTCCAGTGGTCCTACTACCCCCTCTACAGGACAACGGGGTTACTGCTCAGACTCACCAGGTGTTAAATCTTACAGATGTTACAGATGTTGAACAGTTTGTGGGAAAGTTCACGTGAGCTGAACGTCACCTCAAGTTTTACAAGAAACCACAGACGTGTTTATTGCTGAACGTAGGAAAAGACGAGGAGATAAAGTGTCGTAATCTGAATACATCACAACCGCAAGTCACAGGCTCAGTACTACACATTGTGTGTAAAGCACAGTACAAATACACAGAAAAACATGTCTATTACAAATACAATATAAACCTGCAAAACACACACTGTGCAAAATGTGTTGACGGATCAAATAACCAAACAAGCACAGAAACCATCTGGAGGATTTATAACCTCCAATCCAAATATTCTTTCTTCCCCTTTTCCGCTGACGTCAAACTAGAATCATTTTAACGATCAGAAATCGAACCTTCTGACACGTCTTGTGTAATAGTGCAGGATTCCTAAAAGAGAGATTTAGAGAATTACTTCTGAGCGGTTTCCTAAAAAGACGCATTAACAAAGACCAAGATGAAAAAACCACAACACAAACGTGTTTCCGCCTCTGTACTGAACACATCAGACGAAAAAATACTTTCACATCGTCCTCTGAGAATCTGATTCAACATAAAAAAAAAGTTCCACTCTGGGACGAGCTGCAGGAGTGAGACCAGGGGGACGAGGACAGGACACCAGAGACGCTGGGGACAGCATCAGTGAGAATCACATTCACTTCATACTTCGATGTTGTTCTGATCAAAACACACAAATCTACTCCGGACAAGTCCAGTGTCGTCTGGAGCCGACACGAGATGAGCGGAATGTTCAGAGTGTCAGTGCAGGGATGTGAACTCGTGATCAGCACATTTACTTTGGTGCAAGTGATGTGTAAAGTTAAAGTGTCTGGCTCCGGGACTCGGCCCTCAGCCTCTTGTTGAGTCGACAGAGCTGCAGCAGGAAGCCGTCGTTGGGGCCGATTTCTCGGTTCTGCCGCACCGTGGCCAGAGCGGTGTGGACGTCCATGTTTTGGCGAAGCATCAGGAAGGCTATGACCAAGGTGGGCGAGCGGCTGTAGCCTTCCCTGCAGTGAACGTACACTTTGCCTGCAGAAGAAGAAAAAGACAAACACAAAGTTTCCACCCTGACAAAATCAGTCAGATCCTCAAACTCGATGAGTTCTTCTCTGCTCTGTCGCCCTCTGACCTTTTCCATCGTTGTATGCCAGCGCCTTCCCGATGAAGTCCGCCGCCTCCTCGAAGTAAACGCTGATGTCGAAGTGGACGAAGTCGCTGGCGGGGATCCCGTGGTAGACGAAGCCGGTGCCGGCGTAGAACTCGGCGTTGGTGTTGACGTGCATGAAGGAGTTCCCCTCCGCCGCGTTCAGGATGTGGGTGATGCCCAGTCGCTTCAGATGCATCACGTTCAACGCCGCAGACCTGAAGGTAAATATTAATTATATATATCAGCAAAATAAATTGGTATCAGCAGCACATCTCAAAAATCTGTATATCGGTCGGGCTTTGAAATGCTCGTTGGCTGCGTGGAGGTAAATGTTGGATGAGCCGGTGAAGCACATGTGAAACAAACTTTGTGCAGAACAGACGATTGTTTCACACGTGAAGCTGCAGAGTGAAAAGATCGAGGACTAATCATCATGAATGAAACCAAACTCGAACCCTTTCTTCACCTTCATCTAACCTGCTCATTAAACTGTGTTATACTGTGAAAGATTTGACCGATATCACTCCGTCCTGTGAGGTGAGGAGGAGGAGGGACTGACCAGGACTCACCCGGACTCACCTGGACTCACCAGGACTCACCCGGACTCACCCGGACTCACCAGGACTCACCCGGACTCACCCGGACTCACCCTGACTCACCCTCTCATGAATTCGTTGTGTGAGTATGTCCATGATATGTATTACTTTGTTTAGTGATGCTACACATGATGTTGGAGTATTTCATTGTTGTCTCTTGGATCCGTGTGTTTGAACGATCTCAGACCCAGTTCACGTTAAACCACCTGATTCAGAACCTCCACAGCTTCACAGTGTTTTTCATGAAGCTCCAGGCGTCACTACATATTTCACTTTTTATTTCCCTGCTCCTCCCAAAGTGTCGCTTCTCGTGATTTAGATTTAAGAGTGGATTTTTCCTTTCTTCACTTTCCTCCTCCTGTCGTATAAAAGACAGACGATCAGCTGCCTCTCTCTCTCTCTCTCTCTCTCTGAACCTCTGGGATCGAACCGCCGCTCGGCTCCTCCTGCCTCTTGGATGTCGACGTCTAAAAATAGAGACGGAGCTAATTCTGAACGTAACATCACGCCTCCACGAAAAGCGTCTGCAGGCGTTCAGGCAGCAGCGAGGACAGAAAGTAAAGAGACACCGTCTCATTTCAGAGCTGTGTCCATGAGGACACCTCACATGCTGTGAGGACGCTGTCACGGTTCTGCTGTCCTCTATCTGTCGTCTCAACTAAAGCTCATTATACACATTATAAATGATTTAAAGGTACAGTGTGTAGAATCTAGTGACATCTAGTGGTGACGTCGCATGTTGCAGCTGAACAGAGTCACAGAGAGTTATAATCTGTTGATCTAATGTGTAAAACACAATATTGGATCAATTCAAACAGTGAAACGTGTCCCAGATTATCTGACCCACGGAGAAACAGGATGAAACCAGAGACTCACTCGTTCCCGACATAGATCCCAGGGTGCACCGGGCTGCAGTCTCTGCTGGGCCGGGTGAACAAGCCTCTGTCGTCCGTCAACAGGTCGTTGAGCTGCTCGAGAGAAACTTCGAAGCTCCGGTCCTCCCGGTTCTTCATGAGGAGGAGGCCGCAGACAGGGAGCCGGAGCCGGGCAGGGAGGAGGGGGGAAGGTGGCGGTCAGGTGTCGGGTTCTCCGGGCTGTGGATCCGCCCTCAGTGGCCTCCAGAGCGGATCTGAAACTCCGGATCACCCGTTACCCTCCGACAGGGCCGCTCCTAGCTCTCTGAGGGGGGGGGCCTGGGTCTGTGGTGCCCAGGACTCATTTATAAAGCAGCTTTCATACACAGACTCAAGATTTAAAAAAATATATTAATTAATGAAAAATAAACTAAATTAACTATTTAAAATCTGAAAACACAGTTTGAAATTGTTTTCAGACAAAATGAAAGATAAAAAAATAAGTAGTTTAAAGAAAAAAGGAGGAATCTGTATAAAAATTTGAAGATTAGAAAATAATAAAAGTGTAGATGATGAAAAAAGAAGTACAGTGACTCTTTATCACAGATTATCTGAATAAACTATATTAACGCTGTAGTAACGATCTATACCCGAGTGTTTTCAGGTTGAGTCCCTCAGACACGTCTCTCTCCAGAGAATTAGCAGAAAAAATGAACACGAAAGGATTTGACTGTGCAAGAGATGCGTTTTATTGACACACAGAAGCTCTGAGGGAAAGTGCTGCAGTTTGTCATGAGTGAAGTCAAACAGTGACTCTCTGCGAGAAGAAGGAAGCTGTGGCGTCGGCTCCGTTCGTCTCTCGTCTGTTGAGGACGAAGCTTCGGTAGAAACAGAACGAGGAGGAGTTAGTCTGTGACCCCAGTGTGGACAGGTCATCAACAACTGGAAACATCTGGGGACGAGTATATGAGCAACACACGGTCCTTCAGAGGTCCGTCATCAGACTGTGACGGATCTCTGAGGGACAACGCGTCGCCGACCGTTTCGGTGAACTTTGTGCTCGGAGCTTAGTTTTTAATGATCGAATGTGATGAAATGAATAAATAAACCAGACGGCTTCAGATTCTGTTTGGTCACATGTGGAATCTGTTTTTTACGGAGATCACATTAGAACTGGATCAGTGACGAAGGGTCACATGAAATAAAACACTAACTCCTCCACAGCTCCGCCCAGCGGTGAGCGCAGCCGACAGTCGATTCACAGAACATGCTAATCTACGGTTGACAGGGAACAGAAGCTGTGGGAACGTCTCCCCTCGGAGTCAGGCCTCCGCCCCTCAGCACATCTCAGGTTGCGTGTTTGCAGCCCGGCAGCGCAGGACTTTCAGGAAGCTGTCAATCTTGTGGGAGTCCCGTCGGAAGCAGGACAACAGGAAGTGGAAGTTGATCAGTTTGGAAATCCTGTCCTGGCCGACGTCGTTGCCTCTGAAGGGCAGGGAGGAGAGAGCCTGCGCCGCCTCACCCATCTGAGAGAGAGAGGAGGAGGAGGAGGACACACTGTGAGGTCGAGGTTCATCTGTTCATAGGTTCAAGTCTCTGATGTGAACACCTACTTTCCCAGAGAGGATGTCCAGGCCGTCCCCCAGGTTCTTGGAGTGCTCCTGCATCTCGCGCACCTTGTTGAATATGCTGCTTTGTGCCGGGTGAGGCAGAGAGAAGGCCGAGGAGGACAGGGCGGACAGAGGGTCGGCCCAGGCCTGGAGCAGAGAGCGAGCCAGGGACAACAGCTCGGACTCCTGAAGGCAAACCAAAGAATTGTGTGTTTGTTGCCATGAGACACGAGATCCGGAAATAAAGCAGAGACAGAAACTCACCGATACTTGAAGAGCCTGAGTCTTGTCATTGGGCGTCTGCAGAGCGGAGGTGTGGCACATGGAGGGCCGCGGCATGATCACCCGACCAATAGGAGGGAAATGAGAGTCCTGGGTGGGACGGAGGAGAAGGTTACTGTTTGTGTTCTCACGTGCAGCCGCTCTGCAAAACTTCAGCTACACACACACACAACTTAAACTTCACCGTTGTTACTACGTCGTCACCTCTTCACATTAAGTATTCATGTTACACACACACACACACACACAGGGACTGACCAGCTCTTGGCTGAGTGTCGTGCTGAGCGAGTGCAGTTGGTCCGAACGCTGAGACGCTCGGTCCAGCAGGTCATTGATGGGGACGGCGCCGCATGATGTCATCACGTACGACACAACTGCAGCTGAGAGAAGAAACAGAATCGTGTTTTTTACACTTTCTGTGAAATCTGGAAAACACTTTGAGTCACACTGTGAAATTCAGATTTTCTTGTTTGTCCTGGAACAACAAGATGTTCATCAAGTTTTAAAAACTACTCCCAGGATAAATCCTCAGTGACACGTTGCACAGGTGAAGAATGAAAACTCACATCGTCGTTCTACTGCAAATGTCTGATTATATGTCAGAAGCTGCACATACTTCATCTGTGATACTGATACAGCTGATATCTGTCGAGTTATTGGTCCATCTCTAGTATAAATATCTCAAATCATCAATCAGTCGATCAATTCATGTTCAGAAACTGTTTTTATCTCAGTGGAGAAAAGAAAAAAAGATCTGAAGCTTTTAGATTTTTCCTGAAATAGACAAAAGAAATAAGCCGAGTTGATCTCACCCATCATGAAGAGTTTGGTTCTTCTGTGAGTCATCGTTCTTCTTCTTCTTCTTCTTCTTCTTCTTCTTCTGCTTCTTCTCTGTCTGAGCTTCTCGTCCTTATTTCATCCTCCTGCTGAATCGTGTCTCAGTTTTATAGCAGCAGGACGACGCTGTGCTAATTGTTTGGTCCAGTTCATAATGAGAAACATGGTCCGAGAGTGAATGAATGAATGCAACAGGATGCAAAGGTGTGTGTGTGTGTGTGTGTGTGTGTG